AAATACCCTGGTCCTCAGCATCAGTGAAGCCACTCCATAGCGATTCTCCGTCTGCCCCTGGCGGCTCTTGATGCCTCCCCGCCACAACCCACCCACCCACACACAGTGGCCTCACCCCTTCCTCAACTTCAGTTCCCCGAGGCACCTATCATTCAGAAATCCCTGAGCCTTCAAGGACATTAGGAAGACTGAACACAGCAAGACATGCAGAGTTTCCCAGCATGCTGCCTGGCATAGTAGGTGATTAGTAAATGGTAGCTATTATTATTATTTGCTATTTTTATTTAAAAATCTAGCACCATTTCAACAGGCAGAAAGACTGATCTGAAAAGGCCAAGACAAGACTCTCGGCCCAGCGATGGAAGTTCTCTCAGCCTCTGGGGTTGGTGGGTTGAAAGCCTCATGCCAAACACCACACACCAAGGCCAGCCAGGCTGGGAACCAGCTCCTAAGCACAATTTCCATGTTCCCTAATTAATTAATTAGTGTCCCAGCGATTACTCCTGTTGACAACCTTGGTGGCTCTTGGCAAGGTTGGGTCAGCCCAAGCAAGTCCAGGCTTATTGTGGCAAATCCCACCGGCTTCTGGGATGTGAGACGTGATCCCCAGAGGCAGCACCTTGTTAGAGAGAATTAATTGGGAGGATGAATGGGGGGAGGGGGACAAGGTCCTTTTAGCTAACTGCTGATGGCCTTGGTGCTGTAGGTCACAGACAGGTCTCAAAACACCCATGCCCTAACTGGTTTGGCTCAGTGGATAGAGCGTTGGCTGCAGACTGAAGGGTCCTGGGTTCGATTCCGGTCAAGGGCATGTGCCTTAGTTGTGGGTACATCCCCAGTGGGAAGTGTGCAAGAGGCAGCTGATGGATGTGTTTCTCTCATCGATGTCTCTCTCTATGTCTCTCCCTTCCTCTCTGTGAAAAATCAATAAATGTATTTAAAAACAAACACACACACACACACACACACACACACACACCACACCCCATAATGCCCAGGCCTGCCTGCATCCTGTTGGGGTTGATTCAGATGAGGAGGGGGCTCTGAAAAATCACATCCCTACCCTGCTTTCCCAGGAAACAACCATATTATGCAAAGACTATAGTCTTCCCCTCTAGAGAAAGAAGCCTGTATCGCAGTGAGACACCCAGAGAACTCGGCCTGTTTGAGGCAGATGGGGGGAGGGGGAGTGAGAGGAGCCTGCACCCAGACATGGAACCTCTGTGAGGCCAGAGCTGCTCACTGAGACCACCTCCCACTGTCCCCCCCTTATCAGCCCCAGAGGAACTATCAAAGACCCATAGCGCTCCTGATGCTTCCCCACTGAGGGCAACCCCAGTGCCACCTCTCTCCTCTGCTCGCAGGTAGGTTGGGTGGTTGAGGGAGGAGAGGAAATCCACAGCACAAGCGGCTGCAGCACTTCCTGGGAGCTCTGGTCTGGGCGTGGCCTCTGGGGTTCCCTCCGTATCAGCCCTCACTTCTGTGACTCTGGGCTGGTCCCGGCTGCTCTGGGCCTCCTGTCCCCAGCAGAGTCAGCAGGATGGTAAACCATGGCCTTTAAAGTCCTTTGCACAGGCAGTCTTAGATTCTGTACCTTGGGTTTGTCGGCCCTGAATCCCTCCCCTGTGCAGACAGGGGAGCCGTGAGGGCTGCTTGGAACATCTGACCACAGTGGTGCCTCCAAGCACACGGGGCCCTTGGATCCTCATCTAGAACCGCAGGCTCAGCCCAAAGACACAGAGAGATGCAGAGGCTTCGGGGAGTGTGGGCCCAGCCCTCCGGGAGGGGCATGCCTGGGCCTCTGAGAAGTGCCCTCCCTCCATCTTTAGACCTTCCAGACAACCTGCAGCCCGGGGCTCCACGTGGAGGCCCCAAGCATCAGCTAATAGCTGTGCCGCTTCCATGGGGGGAGGGAAAAAAGACGGGAGGCATCCCTGGCTTCATAACAAGGCTGGGCCCCATGGGCCTACGGGTACTGCTGGCACAGATCACACAGTAGGCTTGCCATCCCGGTGTGGGCTGGCGCTCGAGGTAGGAGCCCCATCACTTCATAGCATCCTTTTAGGACTCTGGGGGCTCCGTTCTCACCCTCCTAGGTCTGCAGGGCCTAGAGGCTGGGTCACCAACTCCTGCTCCAAGACGCTGGGTCCCAGGCCTCACAGGCCAGGTCTAACACCCAGGACCCGCATTTTCACCTTCCCCGACTTCCCTCTGGACACCGGTACCCTCCCACCGTTTCTGGAGGCTAGAGCAGGGTCAGCCCTGGATAGAGCAGATTCAGAAGTGCCCAGCTCCAGCCACAGCCTCCATCTGCTGCAAGCTCAGTGACTCCACATACGCAGCCCACTTCCCAACCCCTCACACTTTGCTTTCCTACCATCCTACCAGCTAGCTTGCCCACCTCCCCTCCACCCACTGAGATTCCAGGGCCCGCCGCTTCTACAGACCTCTCTCTTTATATATATATATATTATTGATTTTCCACAGAGATGAAGAGAAAGGGATAGAAAGTTAGAAACATCGATGAGAGAATCATCGATCAGCTGCCTCTTGCACACACCCCACTGGGGATGTGCCTGCAACCAAGGTACATGCCCTTGCCCGGAATCAAACCCAGGACCTTTCAGTCCGCAGGCCAACACTCTATCCACTGAGCCAAACCGGTCCTGGCTTCTCCGGACCTCTTACCGGCCTCCCAAAGGCCCCAGCCAGCCGGACAAAACCCTCTGAGAGAGCCCTGTGGTGCCCGGAGCTGGCCCCAGCACCTCTGGTGGACAGGCCCTGCCCACAGCCACAGGCCTGTGTCCCCCTCAGCTTCCCTTCTGCTGACCCCCCACCTCGCCCCCACACTGCCATCAGGCTCTCTGACGTCCTTGGCCAGCTGTCTCTCCCACTCACTCCTCTGAATGTCTAGAAGCTTCTCCACAGCCGTCAAACTTCTGACCTTCCCTGTCCCCACCTCTTGCTTCCTCTCTGCTCCATCTTTAGACCAGACGCTCTCAGAACAACTTCCTTAACCTCTCCACCCCTGAACCCTACCCCAACTGCATCCGTCTCCCCAAGCTGAGGTGGGGAGGACTCTCTCCCTGTCAAAGCGACTCCCTTGAATCCCCACCCCCCCACTTCATAGACTTTGCTCTCCATCTTCATCCTCCACTTCGCTCTTGGTGTGTTCTTTTTTGTACATACCAGTGCCCCTTTCTCCCGTGTATAGAAGGGGAAATACCTGTGAACCCGTTTCTATCTTGTTTGCTAGCTTATTTTTGCGTATTAGATTCCACACACGAGTGAAATCATATGGTCCTTGCCTTCCTCTGACTGGCTTACTCCACTCAGCATAATGCTCTCCGGGTCTGTCTACGCCGTCGCAAAGGGTAACCTTTCCTTCTTTTTCACGGCCGAGTGGTATTCCGATGTGTAAATGTATCATAGCTTTTCTATCCGCTCATTGTACTGTGGACACTTCGGTGCTTCCTGATCTTGGCTATTGTAAATGCCATGGGGGTGCCCATAGCCTCGGGCAGCAGTATGGCGATCTCGGGAAAGGAGGAGAGGGGGGAGCAGAGGGGAAAGGGGGGATACATACTGAGGGAAGGAGCCTGGACTTGGGGTGGTGACCACACAACACCATGTACAGGGGATGCATGATAGGACTGCACACCTGAAACCTATGTAACGTTACTAACCAACGTCACCCCCACAAATTCAACGAAAATGTTTTTTAAAATAAAAATAAGGGGGAAATGAATACAAGCTTCTCTTGATCCCATACCTCATTCCAGCTGCGGGTCTGTTTCTCTTTTTTCCCTTGACCCCAAACATTCCACCTGCCACCCCGGTTCCTCGCCCATCGGCGGGACCTCACCCATCAGCTGCACCTCCCCTTGGGTCAGGGTTTGCCTTCCCTGCCTGAGACACCCAGACACTCCTTACCCTCCCAGAGCTTCACCTCTCAGGAGCGTCTGACTCTGTGATCGGCCCACCAGCCCCGAATCCCACTTGGCTTGTCCTTGCCTTCCTGGTCACCCATCCTCAGTCACCACCCCTCCCCGAAGACCGCCTTTCCCCACAGGCTCCCTGGTGGATCCCCACCCCCGCTCAATCTCATGATTGTTTCTTATGTTGGTGGCCCCACTTCTGTCTCCCAGACCCAGCACCAGCTCCTCCAGGCTCCCCAAACCCCTCGTGTCCACCAGATACAACACACTGTCCTCCCTCAATCCAGTCCCTCCGTCCCATCACGTGGTACCTACATTTGCCTGGTCTTTCAAAACCAGGAAGCAGAGCACCCTTCCTGCAGCTCCCTTCCCCTCCCACCACACGCAGCTCCTCAACGCTCACGAAGCTGCCTCCTGACTCTCGGAAAGGACCCGCTTCCCACGATGCCCACTGCCAACAGCCTGGTCCAAGCCCTCCACTGCCTCCTGATTGCTGCTCCTCCCCCAGAGCTCCAGCCCAGCCTCGCCGCAGGCAACCGGGGGCACCGTTCAAAAGCAGCACCTGTGGGCCAGCTTTGCACATCCCTTCTGATGACCGTGACCCTCTGCGCTGGCTCCCAGGTTCCCGGCGCCACCTGACCCACCTCATCCTTCTCCTCTCTCTGCTCCGGCTGCAGACTTTGCTCGGCTCTGGACCATGCTGTGTGCTGCCTTCACCCCCGGTGACCTCAGCCCACGTGTCCCATCGCCCACTGCACACCCGGCCAACTCTAGCCCTTCCTTCAGGCCCCAGAAAGTGCCACTTCCCTCAAGGCTCTGTGAGGGCTCCTCCCACGTCCAGCTCAGGTGGTCCTACCCTAGCACGCCTCATCTTTCATGTTCTATTCCTTGTTTCATTGTTGTGTTAATGCTTCACCCTGAGCTCAGAGATGTCTGTCTCATTCATGGTTGGAACCCCAGCACCCAGCCCAGTGCAAAGGAGCCAGCGCTGAGTAAGTATTCGTTAGTGAAAGGCCTAACCACACCCGCCCGTCCTGCCCGTGAGCCCCTCCCCTCACTGACCTCTGACATCTGCGGGAAGAGGCTGATGGCCAGAGGCAGGGCCAGGCCGAAGGCTGCCAGGCACACGAGGCTTTGCACAGGGAGGAGCAGCCGGGGGCGCGCCTGCAGGAGAGCCGTCCTGCGGGGAGAGGAGCGGGCAGCCCGTGAGGGTGCAGACGGGGGAGCAGCCCCGGCCACCACACTGGGTCCTACCAGAACGCAGGGCCAGGGCAGCGTGGTTCCGGGCCAGCGCCGGCCGTGGCTAAACAGCTGTGGTGGCATTCTGCCTTTGGGTCTCCCCCAAGCCCTGCCATGAAGGATGTTGCTGGTTGGACTCTCAACCATACGTCATAGATGAGCACTTGTGGGGGCCTTCCCACACCCCACCCTGGGCCCAGCCCTGTGCAAAGAGGGCCACATGCGGGGACACGACAGAGGAGGCTGTCATCCCTGTGCCTGGGGAGACACCCGGGAGAGTAAATCACCTTGGAAGGCAGCACATGATGAAAGAGCAAACAAACCAGAGTAGGTGCCAAGCACAGGGGAGAGTCAGACCACACCTACATGGGCACATCCATGCACACACATACATGCATGCACACATATACCTTCACCGTGTTGTCCAGCAAAGCCTTATACACCACACGCACATACATGTACACATACTCACACACATGCACACATGTACTCACACATACCCATATATATGCATGCATGTGTGTGCACACACATATATACACACAACCGGGAGGGGGTGACCTCCTTCTGTGTGTGGCAACAGAACATGCCCCACTGACTATTTCATCAACTTCAATCCAAGAGCCACGGAGAGGGGCAGGGGCTTGCCCAAGGCCAAGGCGAGACCTGCTGGAGGCCACTGGCTGCTGCCTGGACTCCTGACTCCCTGCAAGTGCTGCCGCCCCGGGCTGCTCCCGGCTCCCGCCCTCAGGACCCACGTTTCATCGCCTGCTGACATGTCACAGCTGACACCCACTCCAGGACAAGCTTCGAAGCTGGGATTCCTGGGCAGGAGAGGGGTCTGAAAAGCCTCCCTCCAGGCCCGGATCCCCCAGCTCCAGGACAAAAAGGGCTGTCCGGACAGATTGGGGGCATACCAACTGGCAGGTGGATAGTCCTTCACTGCGTTGTCCACTGTACTGTCTGGTGAAGACCCTGAGCCTCTGCTTGGAGGGGGGGGTCTAAGGGAGGGTGCGCCAGAAGACGGGTGATGGGACCATTAGCCAGGGGACGGTGGATGGGCTAAGTCTGACCCCAGTCACTGTGTCAGCGTCCACAGGCCTGCAACTGGCTCCTAGTACGAAGACGTACAATCCGGGCTCTTGCCCGGCCCCTCTGGAGCAGGACTGCCTGTGGCCCCTGGCAGGGGAGGAGGCCCTCCTGGGGGCAGGGCCTCGGTGGGGGGCAGGTAAACCCCACACCACCTTCCCCTCCTGGGACAAGTATCCCAGGAGCACTTGGCCTTGAGCGGACAGCTACGAGGGAGCAGCGGTTCTCCAACTCGATGTATAGGCAGCCGGTTGAAAATGCAGACACCCAAGGGCCCCTTCCCCAGGAAATCCTGACTCAGTTGGCCCAGCACCTGGGAACCTGCATTTCAAACAACCTTCGTGAGTCTAAAACAGGTGATGGGTCCCAGTCACTTCTGAGAAACCCTGGTCCAGGATGTTCCTGCGAAGGGACCGGTAAGATCCGGTTACTGGTCAATTCTATGCAAGTGAAAGGCCTGGACAGAGGAAGTGCTGAGTCATTGTGCATTGTTGTTGCCTTTGTATGTGCAGGAAAGAGGGGGATCCTGGTGGCTGGGCTGTCTGTCCTCCAGCCCTTCCCACCAGCCCAGACCTCAAGAGCCATCCAGCTGCCGAATTAAGCCTGAATTGAGTTGCTGGAGAGGGAAGTTTCCGCAGCATCAAGAGTTGCAGGAAAAAGTGCCGAGTCAAACTCAAGCCTACGGGACCTCCCCTTGGCCTCGTCCAGTGGCCCCAGGCTCGCCTTCTCCTCCACACAGCCTCCCACTGGCCACGGACTCGGCCCCAGGCCTCCTGGGCTTCCACAGGAGTCCCGGAGGGGCCAGGAGAAAGGCTGAGAGGGGCCCTGAGCCCTTTTTGATGAGGGTCAACTTCTCCCGCAGGAAAAGGGGGTGGGACACAGGGCTCCAGACTGGCACACAGACCCGGAGCCCTGCTCTGCGAGGCTGTGGAAGGCAGCTGGGACCTCAGTCCCCAGGGGGAAGCGGGCAGGGGGAGGGAAACTGGAGGGTGTGACTCCCTGGGGTAGAGCCCCAGGGGTCGCTGAGGGCAAGGGAGGTGGCAGGGAGGAAGAAGGTGGCAGGGGAGGGGCAGGCCATGAACTCATCCCTGGGAGCTCCAGACAGACCCCCTTCCATGTGGGACCGTGACCCCGCTCCCTCTCAGGGGGGCTGGCTGAAGCCCCCACGGGGCAGGGGACTCTGGAGGTCCGGGAAGGAGGCGGGCCTGAGGCTGCAGCCAAGCAGGAGGCTCCATGGACGTCCCAGCCCAGCGCGGGCACTGGCGTGAACACAGCAGGACAGGGGGAGGGGAGGGGAGGTGGGAAATGGCAGGGAGGGATTGGAGAGGCAGCTGGGGGAATTAAAATATGCAGATGGAGAGATGTGCGACTGACTGGGAGAAAGGAAAGACCCGGATCCCAAGGAATGAAGGAGGCAGGAGCGGCCTCAGGAACCACCTCGGAGGGTGTGAGCTGAACCCCAGGCCCAGCTGAGCTGTGGAGTGAACTCAGAGGCAGGGGTGGGGGGCTGAGGGCAGAGAGCCCGCACTTGCCCGGGAGTTAGGGAGATTGTGGGGGAGGGGCCGATCTCCCCATCTCCCAGCCTCCTCCTCAGCCCTGAGGCTGTGCGGTGAGGGGGTGTGAGCTGGGGAGTGGGCACCCCGCAGAGGTGGTGTGGGCTGGAAGCTTTGGCTCCCCCGCTTCTGACTTCAGGCCCCTTTCCTTTCTGTCTCGGAGCCAGGGACACCTGAACATCCAGGCCCCCCTCTCGCCTGCAGGTCAGAGGGCTCCTCTCCGAGGGGAGACTCTGAGGCCAGAGGTGAAGCCAGCTGGGCCCCAGCCCCACACACACCCAACAGCTCCCGTCCCCGCCGCCGCCGCTGTGCATTCCCTCAGCGCTTGGAGCAGTTGGAGTTTGCGCTCCATTAATTTGCAAGCAGGCTGCTTGGTAAGTGTTCTTTTGTCTTTTTCCTCCGACTCCCTCACTGGGGGTGGGGCCGCCTCCCCCACCCCCTCCTCGGCAGGGCCCTGCCGCTAGCACCCCGCATGGGAAGGCCACGGGGTGCTGAGTGGGGCCCCTGCAGGGAGCCCAGGGCCTGCTGGATGCCAGGCCCCAGGGGACGAAATGAAGAAGTGGCCCAGTGGTCATCCTCCAGGAAGGAAACTGAGGCGAGGGAGTCTCTTGAACCAAACCGACCCAATAGTGAGAGAGCAAGAACCCAGGGTTCACTCTCCTACCAGGAGTCTCAGCAGGTGCTGCTATGCTGGCCCTCTCACCCCCAATCTTGCACCTCCCACCCCCATCCATGAATTAGTCGGTCTGGGAGGACATCAACTGGGTCTTTTTCATTTTGATATTCCTGGGCGAACCCGGGCTGGACTCTCCCTTCTCCCCAGAGACTGACCAAGAGACCCCCGGGAAGGACCAGCCACATACAAAGCCAGCCAGTCTCTACGTGCCCAGGGGGCTTCTTTGGACCTTGAGCTGAGCCAGACGGGGCAGCCAGGCTCTGAGCAGGCCCGCGAGGCTCAGAACTAGAACTGGCCTCCCACCTTCGTGCCTCTCAAAGCCGAGGGGAAAATCCTGAACTAATGGGACACGAACCAGCGCTGCACTTTCTGTAAACTCAACTCAGGTGCCCACCGGGGCGGCATCACAGACCACATCTTCCCCGGGCAACTGCTGGCGCAGGATTTGGCCGCCTACACACAGAGCTCTGGCTCCCCCATCTCCCCCGTGGTGTCCTGTGGACCGCAGGGGCTGGTATTTGGGGACAGCCTCCATTCACAAGGCAGCTGGTACCCAAGGCTCAGGGGCACAAAAGCAATGGCCTTCCCAGGATCTGTTTAGTTTTGCAACTTACATACGGAATTGATTGTCTTATATCCAGGGGCTCAACATGCCACGCCCCGACCAGGTGCCCCACCCTTACACCTAGCAGCAGGGCCGGAGAGGGGTGGGTGTGAGGGCGGAGCACACTTAGCTTCAGGCCCACGTGTTGCCCAGAAAGCCCTCCCTCCTGCCAAAACCCCATTTTGCTCTCAAAGTCAACTGCAGTCCCTCTCCTGTGGACCAGCCTTCCTTGCTGCTGGGCCCACAGTGCTCCCTCCCCTCCAGGTCACCTTAATCCTGTCCTCACATTGCCCCCGTCCCACCGGCAGCTGGCCTGTGTGTGGGTCTACCCATCTCCCGTATGGTGTACAGGCTTTCTGAGCCCGCTCCTCCCCAGTCTCCATGCAGGGCGGGACCCAAAGACATGCAGATGTGATCTGAAGACCCCAGAGGCAGCCAGTGTGGCAGGCAGAGCGCACAGCTCTGCAGCCACGGTCCTGGGCCACTGCTGCTTCTGCCATTTCCTAGGGCAGGGGTCGGCCAACTCATTAGTCCACAGAGCCAAGTATCAACAGGACAACGGTTGAAATTTCTTTGCAGAGCCAAATTTTTAAACTTAAACTTCTTCTAACACCACTTCTTCAAAACAGACACTCCCAGGCCGTGGTATTTTGTGGAAGAGCCACACTCAAGGGGCCAAAGAGCCACATGTGGCTCTCGAGCTGCAGTTTGCCGACCACCGTCTTAGTGTACGAGAGTAAGCAGATGACAAAGCCTTCGCCTTCTTTTCCTCATCTGTAAAACCAGACGCCATATTTACCTCATTGCACTGCTGTGAAGGCTAAATTCACTTCATTCATTCATTCATTCATTCATTCAACAAGCATGGAGCATCTACTGTGTGCTGGGAACTGTGCTCGATGCTTTGCCGGGCAGAAGAGAAAAGGAATTTGCTTGTGATTGTGAAGATTACATTACAGTGAGGCGGGCAGATAATAGACAACCAGATGAAGAATCTCAGCTATTGCTAAACAGTGTGAATCAAAATAAGGCCTCGTGAGCCGAGTGGGGGTGTCTGTTACCTCCATGGGGTGGTCAGGGAGGGCCTGTTTGGGATGGAATCTGGGCAGAGGCCTGGCTGAGAGGACCGGGATGCAGTCAAGTGCTTGATGAATATTAACTGTTATTATAATTCGTGTTGTGGGAATAAGAAGGTCTCCAAACTGAGGAGAACATCCTGCCAAGGACCCCAGAGGGAATGCCCCCCACCCTTCCCTCAGCTCACGCTGCCCCCAGCCCAGCTGAGCTCCCTCCCAGGCTGGACCCCCAGGAGGGAGGCAGTTTTTGTTTTTTTTACCTGCACCCCAGGGTCTGCACCTCCAGGCTTTTATTCATCTTGTTTCCCCCACCCCACCTAGACCCTCCCTGCTCCTTTCCTTCCGGATTCACCTAATCCTACCCAAAGTCTGTGAAGATGGGCCCTGGCCTCCCTCCCTCCCTGCTCAGCTCCTCCTTCCAACAGCATTTCAGACTTCACGGCTCAGTTTCACACCCATTAATTAATACAATCACTCTTCCATTGTTTTATTACTGCGTCCCCTCATTTCTCTTCAGTCACGGCAAGCGTGTGTTCTCCGAGCATCCCTCCGAGGGAGGCGGGAGGTGGGCACTGATTGTGTGTTAGAAATGGAGAAACTGAGGCTCCGTGGCACGGACATGCCTCGTGGTGGATGCCAGGAAGGGGTGGTGCTGGCTCCATATTTAGTCACAGCTGGTCCTGCCCTGTGCAGCAATAGTGTGTGTACACACACACACACACACACACACACACGTATGCACATACACATACTTATGCATGCACACATGTATGCACACACTTATGCACACACACACGTATGCACACAGGCCAGAATCTCCAGTTGTTCAGGGCAGGGCTGGCCTCCCCAGCAACCTAGCACAGGGTCCTACACAGAGAAAGCCCATGAATTCTCACAGATCCCAGCAGCATTGCCTGGGAGAGTCTGAATAACCCCCTCCCCCATCCCCATCCCTTGACCTGGGCCAACAGTCCCCTCCCTCCCCCTCATGCCCAGTGGTGGCCCCAGGGTCCTGGCTGCCCCAACTCACTTCTCTAGCATGGACATGACGATTGGAGGGAGCACCAGGATGGGCATGGGGAGGACCACTCGCGTCAGCGCCGTCTCCAGCAGGGCCTGAGGGGCGAGCAGAGGCTGTGGTGAGTGGGGCCTCCAGGTCGGGCACGGCGGCCGGCAGCCAGTCCCACCCCTGGGCCCGGAGGTGTGTGCATCAGGCTAAGCACGTCTGGCTGAGGGGAATAATTCATGGGTTCGCTCACGGAGCCGCACTCCAACAACCGAGAAAGCCACCCTGCCTTCTCAGCACACACGTCTGAAGAGCAGATCCCGTCACCTGCCACACGTGGGGGGTGGGGTGGGGCAGCAACACAGAAGTGCCCCGGGTGGGTGGCAGGTGCCGGGGCTTGGGGGGAAGCAACAGGAAAGCTTGAGATGCTCTCAAGTCTAAGCAGCCCTGGGAGGACCCCAGCAAAGAGCAGGGGCCTGGTGCTGAGGGGGACAGAGACCCTGGGAATGGCCATTTTCTGACATCCCTTAGAGACCAAGATCCGAGGAGGAGGAGGAGGAGGAGGAGGAGAAGGAGGAGGAGGGAGGAGGAAGAGGAGGAGGAGGAGGAGGAGGAGGAGGAGGAGGAGGAGGAGGAGGTTTCCTTGGTGACCAGGGGGAAGGCCCTTCTGCTGAGTGTCTGTGAGTCTCCCGATGGGCTCTGCCTGGGCCTGGCTCTGGGACTCCCTAGGGATTCCCGGCTGAGGGCATAGTCAGGGCACAGCTCGGTGGCACTCTTGCACGCTGCGGGTCATTGTGGGGAGTCCCTTTAGCCCCTCAGGCTTGGGCCCTCCAGGAACGACTGGTAGCCCCCAGATTCCTGGTCTTCCCTTCCACAGCAAGAGGCGACCGCCAGGCTGGGGAGCACCCAAGGGCTGCAGAGAGCTTGGGGCTCCCGCCATTTGAACCACAAAGAGGACCATCAACATTAGCCTCCCTCACAGCACGTCAAGAAAGAGTAAGGGTTAGAGAGGTTGGTCCCAGGGAGGAAACTGAGGCCAAATCCCTTTGGATGATGGGCTCAGGGAGGGAATTTCTCCCATGAACGGGGTCCTTTGTGACCGGCCTCAGGAAGGCCTGGGAGAGGGTCCCTCCAGGCTCCCTCCCAAATGGGAATGAGGGGGCCCAGAGCTCATGTGTGGGGGTGGGGGTGGGGGGGAGGCAGGGAGGATGTTGGAGGGGAGAGAGGATGCAGCATTGGCGCTGGCAACCTGAGCCCCTTCCCTTCAGAGCCTTGGTTGGGCACTCACTTTCCCCGAAACAGTGGGGAGGGGAGGCCAGGGGTGGGGAGGGCCCTCCCATGCTGGAGGCTTATAGAGGAGGCCGCCCTGACAGAGGCGAGGCTGGGCCTCTGTGGGAGCTGAGGAGGGACAGTGCCCGGAGCAGAAATGCTTGGCTACCTCACAGCTGAACCCCCGGCCCCAGCATCTGGAAGCCAGAGCAGGGAGAGCCACTGGTCACCTGGGGAGAGGGCTGGACACAAGCTTACCGGAGTTAAAAAATACATTACAATTGCTGGAGTGGGTGAGGCGGTGACATCGAGGTGGGAAAGGGCCCTCCGGTAACAAAACATCCTCCCCCCGCCACCCCCCCACCCCCCACCCCCGAAAGCCCCAAACCCCACACCTTAGCGCACTCACTCCTCACTCCCCAGTGAGGCGCCAAGTGCAGGCAGGCTGATTAGCACAGAACACACAGCACCGTGCCCACACTTCCTCCTCTGACCCAAGAGGACATGAGAGCCCAGGGGCCCGGCCCCAGGCCCCGGGGCGGGAAGGGAAAGCTCTGGGGTCTATTCTGCCCACACCAATTAACAGACCAGAGAAGCTGGGTCCTGAGGGGCTGGGAGGAGAGGCAGGGACAGTTCGCAGCGGTGAGGAGAGGGCATCTGGAGAGAAGCAGGGGAGTCTAGGGGACAGGCGAGGCTGGGTCAGGCCTCCAGGCTGGGGCTCGTACAGATGGCAGGTGGGGCCGCGGACAACAGTCTTTGAAGAATGAGAACATTTAGGGGAAGCCCACACCCTCCCTGTGGGCCCCCCCACGCCCCCAGCCTTGGGAGGACCCACATGTCTGGCTGCGATCCTGGAGGAGCCCACGAGGTTGCCATCACCATCCATTACATCGATCCCTTCTTCCAGCTCCCCGTACCGCATCAGGACCACGTTGCAGATGTTGGCGCTGGCTGGAGAGAGAGGAAGAGCAGGAGTGAGGGGGATGATGGCATTGCACTTGGTAAGACCACTGGGCTCCACCCTCGCCCAAGCCTCCCTCGCCCAAGCAAGGGCAGCTGGCGGCGTTCTGAATAGACGCCAAGCTTGTGTTCAAACGCAGGGGGGGAAGGTGTGGTTCTGGTGCCTATCCGCTTGGTGAGGGGTCTGGGGGGCCCTGAGAACCTGGTGAGCAAGGCTGGAAAACAACCGCTGTCAGGGAGAAACGGGGGACTGCTCAGGGCTTACAGAGCGGCCAGTTATCCAGGAGACTGCCCCCTGCAGGCAGGCCAAATGGGTGCCCATCTGGGGGGCTCTCTGGCCTGAAGACACATCCCCCCACCCAGTGCCTGATGCTCCCCCATCAGCAACTCAGCACCCCACATGCAGCCCCTTGCTCCTCAGAGCGAATCAGGTGCCCAGAGATTTGCTTCTCTGACAGCAGGTGCCAGAGCGGCAGGAACCTCAGTGCTCACCCAGCACCACCCCCTCATCATATGGATGGAACATGGAGGCTCACGGGGTGTGTGTGTGGGGGGGTGGGGGTAGGGGAGTAGGGATTTATCTGAGGTCACATAGCAAAGTGGGGCAGAGCTGGAAGGTCACAGAGCCTGGTCCTCTGGATACCCCGGAGATGGGAAGAGGGCGGGGTCAGGCAGGGCTACAGGAATACCCTTCTACCTTTGGCTTCAGAAAGTTGGTTCATCCTTTGACCATGCCCACCCACCTCAGCTGAGAGAATGGGGGCCTGGCTGAGGGGAGGGTTCCTGAACCCATAGTAAACGCTGGATGCCAGAGTTTGGGGGCCACCCATCAGCTGGTGGCCAGCCCCCGGGGTCTCACAGGGCTGGGCCTGGGCCTGGGCCCGAGGCTGGGTGTGGGTGCTGACCTCGCCTGAACTCCTCCAGCTCTGCTCCAGGATGGAAGTGGGGGGACTTGGGGGTGGTGTGCGGGCGGGTGGGGAGTGGGGGGGGGTGACAAATGTGGAGCCTGCCTGCTTCACTCCTCCCCCCAAAGCGCCTTGCTGTGTTTAAAGTTTTAATTTTTGCTAATTAATGTCAATTAATTTTGTATAATGAGTGTTTAATTTTGGGGAGTGTGTGAGCCTGGGAGCGACTGCAGTTCTGGGCTGTGAACGCTGATTAGCATCAACACCTGCTGCTTCCCCGCTCCCTCTAGTGGGGGGAGGGGGGCGGGGGGACCAGGGTTTGGGGAGCTGGAGGGTGGCGGGGCCTGTGGGCAGGTGGAGTGGGAGGAGGACTGCAGAAGCTCCTGGCGCCTGAGCCAACGCCGGGTGCAGAGGGGCCCGGGGTGCTCGCAGCTGGGGGACAGGGTCCTGCAGGTGAAGGGTGGCATGAGGCCTAGGGCCTCAGAGCCTCGGTCTCCTGTTCCAATAAAGTGGAAGGTGGAACACGCAGAGGGAAGACAAGAGGCTCTGCGGTCTTTGGAGAGAAAACACAGTTTTTAAATGCGTTTGCAGCGCAGATGTCATCTCTGAGTAGCTCTCACGTGGCCACAAGACACTCAGCCGCGGTGGTACCCACGGGCAGACCTCCTCTGTGCCAGGCCACAGCTGTCCACAGGGCAGGCGCTCAGCGGGCTGATACAGTAGCTCTCAACCGGGTTGATTTTCTGAGACATCTGGCAACATTTGGAGACATTTTTTGATGACCACAGCCTGGGGTGTGCGGGGTTGCTATAGGCCAGTGGTCGGCAAACCGTGGCTCTCGAGCCACATGCAGCTCTTTGGCCCCTTGAGTGTGGCTCTTCCACAAAATGCCACGGCCTGGGCCAGTCTGTTTTAAAAATGTGGCGTTAGAAGAAGTTTATGTTTAAAAAATGTGGCTCTCAGAAGAAATTTCAACCTTGTTCTGTTGATAGTTGGCTCTGTGGACTAGTGAGTTTGCCGACCACTGCTATAGGCCATCGAGCGGGTAGAGACCAGAGACGCTGCTAAGCATCCTACAATGCACAGCACTGCCCCACAGCAAAGAATTATCCGGCTCAAAACGTCAGTAGTGCTGATGTTGAAAACCCCTGTGTCACACACATGTAGAGGCCCCAGGATTAGGAAAGTGAATCTGATGTCAAGGAAGAGAGGCTGGGAACCCCGGTTTCAGGACAGCTGGGCTTGGGTTCCTAATTCTGATGCCGAATCTCCCCCTCCTCACCCTCAAAGGGGAGCTTCCGCCAGCGCTGGCCCTCCTGGGGCTCAGGAAGGGCCCCCACCGTGGCCTTAGGAAGGCGGGCACCCAGCTGTGTGTTTGGTGGCGACAGGTTTGCTCTTGGTCCTTTACCCCCTGGGGCTTCCAGGCCTGCCGTTCCCAGGAGACCCAACCCAAGCACCGGGGAGGGTCCTGGGGGTCTCTGCCCCCAAAGCCATTCGCCTCTGCCCTCGGGGAGCAGCTTCCTCCACCGCTGTTCTGGGAAAGACAAGGCCACAGGAATGTGGTCCAGGAACGAGCCTGGACTTCAAGTCAGGAGGGCAGCTCACTCCGCAAACGCCTCCCCCCTCCCCTGGTGCAGGAGGAGGGGCTGCAGGAAGGGCACCGTGGGACTCCGGTCACAGCCTCTGCACCAGTGCTCACACCAGGTCAGGGGAAGCCAGGAATGGCAGAGACATCTCCAGCTCTGCGTGTGCGTGTGCGTGTGCGTGTGCGTGTGTGTGTGTGTGTGTGTGTGTGTGTGTAGGAAAAAGTGACAGAAAAAGAAAAGAGACAGTGTGGATTTGGAGCTGATGGTCCAGTAGCCCTAGGTGACATCCTGCTTGCTCTCCTCAATTTTCAAATATGCGATGTAGCCACATCAGGACAGAGCAGGACTTGGGTTCAAACACAAAATGACTTGAACGAGAAAGAATGAAAGGGGGTAAAACCCAGCCTTCCCTCCTCCTCAACGCCTCCAGGGCACTTTTCGGAATGAGGAAGCGGCCCTCTCCTCTAAGCTGTCTGGGTCGGGGAAGAGGCAACAGAGAAAACCCTAAAAGCCACCTCAGAATGAGGGCAACCCCAGGCTCCTCCCTTAGAACAGCCCCACTCAAACAGCACATGCACCGTCATTTCTTCTGTTGACTGTGTATACTGGCTGTCCATGTACTGGGCACTGCTGTATGCACAGGTTGGCTGCAATCACCTTTGAGCAGCGAGATGGCTGGCTGCTTCAGTCATTTCATTGCCATGATCTCATCCAGAACGTTCCGTTCTGCCCTTTTCCTTCCAGGCCATCCCTGGTCCCTCCCATCGGTTCCTGGCCAGTCCAGCTCCCGAGTCACAGACTCTGAGAGCCAGAAGTGAAGAGCAAGTGGAAAAGACAGAGAGAGAGAGCAAGCGAGACCAAGACCAGCCATGAGTGGCCACGCTCTCCTCTCCAGCACACCAGCAAGACCAACTATTGACAGTATCCCAGGTTAATTAAACAGTCTGTTAGTGATCATGCTAAGAAAGCTGGCACATTTTCAACTCAGATTGACGCCATTCAAGACTCAGGCATCACTGACGTTGGAGCAGGGGTGCTGGGAGGTGTCACGGGCGGAGAGAGAGGATGAGACATCGCTGCATGCCGATGCAAGCTCCGTGTCAAGCCCTGAGGAAAGCAGGGCCTTGACTGCCACAGATGTTCTCACGGCAGACCCGTCATGACACAGCGTCATGCCGGAGTGAACAGCTAGGAAGTGCCCTGTGGGATCTCCGGGCGAAGGAGGGAGAGCAGCAGACAGACGACAAATGTGCAAGAAAGTTCTCAAAACTAAGACTACAGGAGAGCTTGGCCCCTGAACTAGCTCAGACACATGGGAACAGACACATAGATCAAAAGTTAATAGTCGAGCCCTGGCTGGTGTGTCTCAGTAGTTAGAGCATAGGCCGGAGCACCCAAGGGTTTCGGGTTCAAGTTCCAGTCAAGGGCAAGTACCTGGGTTGCAGGTTCAATCCTCGCCCACGTGCAGGAGGCAACCAATCGATATGTCTCTCTCACATGGATGTTTCTCTCTCGTGCTCTCTCTCTCCCCCTCCTCTCTCCTCCTACTTTCTCTAAAATAAATAAATAAATAAATGGGGAAAAATTCCTCAGGTGAGGATTAACAACAAGAAAGAAAGACTTAATAGTGCAGAGACTATTCCACCTGGGGGTGGAGGGGATGAGTTAGTAGTAAAGCAATTGTATCAACGCACGAGGAAGGACGCTTCAAATATGGGGGCGAAGCAATAGGCTATCTATTCATCGGGGCAATGGTCGGCAAACTCGTTAGTCCACAGAGCCAAACATCAGCAGAACAACGATTGAAATTTCTTTTGAGAGCCCAATTTTTAAAACTTAAACTGCTTCTAACGCCACGTCTTCCAAATAGACTCGCCCAGGCCGTAGTCTTTTGTGGAAGAGCCACACTCAAGGGACCCAAGAGCCCCATGGGGCTAGCGAGCCACAGTTTGCCGACCACAGACTTAGGGAGACTGAAACACCATAACTCCTCTATCTCAAGATGCATTTTTCTCATATTTTAATGTTTGCAGAATCGAGGTATGCCTAACAAAGGGTGCTTAAGGGTGGGGGATCTTGCCGGCTCCCCATCACAACGGCCGGGTCGTGGGTGAGCGTAGCCGTGTGTCTCTGTTCATTCAAGCGTCACCTCAGTGGCTTACCGCGATCCGCATGAATCTGAACTTAAACTTAGATCCCTAATTGTCGCCTAGAACTTCTTTTTAAAACGTACACTAGAATGGAGCGCGGATGCGAAAAGTTATTGTGCATGCGGAAGATCGTCTGCCAGATACCAGGCAATGCAATTAGAGGCGGCAGAAATTGCCAAACCATAGATAGCTCCCCTAAAGAAATGCTTGCCCATATGTACAAAGAGACATTTACAAGGATGTTAATTATAGCGCTGTTTGCAAGAGCAAATAATTAGAAACAGCCTAAATGTCCACCATTTACGGAATCTGCATGGGACGCTCTCCAAAGCAAACTTATATGAAAAGAG